ATGTTGTTACATAAATTTCCTACCAGCACTCAGGCCACAAAAGCAAATTACAGTTTACACCGAAGGGATAGGGAAAAATAGAGCAAGCGACAACAAATGCAATTTCAAATGAACAATAATTCCTTATTCATCTCTTCCACTCAAAATCTTAAATATATTTCAAGCAATATTTACTTGCAGGAAGCTCCAATGAAATTTTTCTAAATTTGATATAATGGAAAGATCTGAAGCTGCCTCGAATCTTCATCATTAAATTTTCTATGAACTCCATGAATGGAGGAAGAAGATGTACCTGCGGACAAATCAGCAAGTATCGTGTGAGGTGTCTGAACTCGGTGACTTGTCATTCTTCGGCGTTAGCTCGGTTCGGGAGCGGCCAGTTTGAAGCTCCGCATCCACTCGCAGAAGCTCGGATCGTCGGTGTGGAAGAAACTCGCCTTCAATCTCGCTCTTTGAGCGGTGGATAATGAGCGGAGTTGAGCGAATCTCGCCTCCTGGAATGAGACAATAATTTGAAGTATTAGTCTTGACTCGTGAGGTGGCTCGAATTCATTGAATAAAGCTCGTTAATTGAGTTCGAGCTCGAGCACAACTCGGCTCAATTACACTCCTAAGTCCATATGTTCAAGAATGCAACCATACCTGCTCATAGGGAGGATCTTTATGAGCCGGAATTAGACGAGATACGAAGTATCGAGCTTGTGAGCTTCCCTCCTGGAATAAGGAAAATAAAAATAAGGCGAATGACACATGCGAAGTTGAATACAGGGGCATTTACATACGACACCATTCTCGTAAATTTCCCCATCTAACAAGTAGACATTCATGTTAAGGAACATACCACTCAAATCTTTAACATCACACAAAAAATACCACTATCTCTAAGTTTTTAAAGTGAAATGTACATTTTCTTGCATAAGTTTATGACGTTAACGTGCGATAAAGTGTAAATAACAAATTTTGGGCGTTCATATGTAAATTCATAAGAACTTTGTGGGTATGTATGAAAATTTACCATTACACTTTGGCAGAAGAATTCAGCTTCCCTATGACAACCTATGATCCTTAATTTAACTTCATTCAAGCAATCTTATCTTTCATTAAAGAACCAAACAAAACAGACAGCACTTCATAAAAAAAAATGAAATACTGTCAAAATAAGTCTCCACTCCACGAATCAAAAGTAAACATATTTACCAAACTTGTGGGACTTCTTAATTTTTTCAATCTTTATTGGGGGCAACAATAGTGTTATTTTTTATGTGCTATTAAAAATTTGAGTGCTATATGTGTAAATATAAAAGTTTAGGAGTGAGATATGTAAATATATTAGAATTGCGTGCTATGTATGTAAATGCTCCTATAAAATATTAGGTGTCTCGAGAACTTTTTTCTCCTATGTGAATGTTGCAGCCACAAATATATGTGAATCCTTGATAAGCTGTTAGACGAGCTCGCATGCCTTCCGCTAAATAATTTGAAAACTTATGCAAGGCGCAAGACTAAAATGTCAATTTAATTATTTATTAGTAATTATTCTGGGATATAAATAGGACATGATATATTTAGGGCTAGGTCATGTGTTATTGTTGTCTAGAATCTTAGGGTTAGAGTTTAGACAAGCAGAATTCTGCCTCTCGAATTATAAGTGTTTATCTTTTATGTATTCGAAATTGTATCATTTTGATATCGTACTGTCAGAATATAATATATTATTTCTGCACTAATTTCTGCAGAAACTTGTCTCGCTCGTATCAAATTGGGGTTGTTCTCATCCATGGAGGGGAGATTTAATTGTATGGAACTACCGGCATGCAGATGTTGAAACTTTGCATATTTGTAGTTCCATTTTGATTTGGTATCGTCACCTTTTTGACTGAACCCTGCGATACAATCGCGATTCAAGCTAGCCTGGAAGCCAACGAAAGGATCGTGTTGTACAGGATCTATCGTATTGCATATTGAATCGCGACGTACAAAATCGAAGCATAGAGTCTTGATATGTTTGAATCACAAGGCGTGTAGGATCGTGGCACCGCCTTCATGACTACATCTCACGATACAATCATGATTCGAGCTAGCGGGGAAGACAATGATGGGATCGGGGTGTACAAAAGTTTCACCTTCGTGAACAAAAATTTTCTTGGGAGTAATGATGACCAAGAAATTAAATACTTTTGAGGAGTTGGGAAAAATTAAAGAGAGAGGTAGGCCAAATCAAATTTGAAATAGAAGAGTGTTTCTCGTCCATGAAGTGTGGTTCTTGTCCATGGAGAGGAGATTCACGACATTGGAAGAAAAAATGAAAAAGATCGTCGTGTTCCAGACAAACCCCCACCCCCCTGTTGCTTGTTGCAGGATCGAGCGACAACATCTGGAGTAGATGCGGGTGCCAACAATCAAAAGAATTTGCGTGGCATCAGGGCAGCGTCACAGCCTTAGGCTCATATGGAGCCACAAGATCGAGTGAAGGAATCGGGAGTGGACTTGAGCGACAATTTTTGGAAGGAATTACAATGTATCCAAAGATAGCTAGAACATGCGGCGGAGAGCTAAACGAAACGACAAACAATTCAAGGTGCAGAAGATTGATTCGAAGGATGTTAGCCTAGAACAGTGAACCACGGTTGGGTGGCACGTCAGTCGAGGGCTGCTTCCAACCGCGTAGTGCTTTTTGCTGCGACTACCTTCCAAGTGAAAGGAAATTTAGGAGCCCGTGGGGACGGGTGAGCCAGGCTTTTGGAGGAAGGGTAATCAATACGGGAAGAAAGTCCAAACCACGCTTTATAGGTGGAACAAAGTTTGGTGATGAAAGTGGAGAGAAGACTCAAACATAAGGAAGTTGAAAATGTCGATCTTTGAAGAAAATGATGACTATAGTTGAGTTTATTGCATGAAGAGATACTTTGATGTTAATGGACTGATTGAGGAAGAAAAATTGATGATAGAGGGCTTGTGTTTGAAATGGAAAGCTCTACCATTGTATCAATAGAGAATACAATGTCAGCCAATCAAAACATGAGAAGATATTAAGGATCGATTGTTGTAGAGTTTTAGAACCACACGAGAAGGAGATTTACATGAGTTGTTTTTGCATTGGTCCAGGAAAAGTACTTAATGGATTATAAGAAGAAATCTAAGATGTTATCCAACCATTAGAGAGGGATATTCGAAACTGTGTTTGAAGTAAATTTCATAAAGGGGTTGAAGCCAAATATTCAAACAACACTTGGTGATAGTGAGGATTAGGAGAAACCATAGAATTAGTACAGTTGCTTGAAGATAAAAATGCAAAGGAACGGGCAAATAGAAGCAACACAAGTGAAGCGCTATACCAAAATGCCACAACCACGACGATACCAAAAATTCAAACAATAAGATTCCAAAGGGAGGTAGCATGGGACAAGAATAATGAGTTATGATCGGAGATGACATTCAAACACCTTATAGAGATAGATATTCAGGAGAAGCGAGCCAAGGGATTGTGCTTTCGGTTCAAACCTTAGAAATTCTCATAATGTGCAATGATGAGGCGGGGGATGAAAAAATAGAGGAGATTGTAGAGTAGGAGGGGGAACACCTTCATTTGGATGTGGTAGAAGTCTCCTTCGAAGACAAATTTGAGAGTAGGATGTAATGGTGTTGCTATATAGTGGGGACATGTGGGAAGAGCAAGAGAGTTTGTAAAGGGGTGATTTTAACAATAAAAGATAATCAAGTGATGGAGAATTTTCTTCTCTTAGATTTAGAGAGCACTGATGTGACATAAGGTATGAAATGGTTGCAGTACTTAGAGGAGACTAAGCTGAATTGGAAACTCCTAACAAGGAGTTCAAAGAGGGAGACAAGATGGTGGCGCTTCGTGGTGACCCTAGTTTGTACAAGACCTTAGTGACACTCAAGATCACAATTTGGGCAATACAAAATGCAAGGTTGGGATTATTGATCGAGTTACAAAACATACAAGAGACACATGACACAGAGTTGTAGGGATTGATGCTTCGATCCAACAACTACAACAATTTGTAGAATTTCTTTAAGTGCCATGCAGTTTTTCACTTCGGAGGAAATGCAAACATGTAATAACCCTAAGATCAAGAGTTTCTCCCATCAGTGTGCGCACCTACTGCTACCCATAGGGTTTCAATCAAGTGCTAACAAGGCCGGTTGAATCTTATGGTAGAAGAGGCAATCAAATTTAAGAGATGGAGCTTAAGCTTCACATAGGTTTAAAAGACCCATTGACAACACTTTGTAATGATCCAAAAACTAACATTACTGTGATAGGAACTTAATAAGTTTTTCATAGAAGTAAGGGCAACCAAATATTTATTTTAATAACACCAAGCACCTCAACTCAAATGCATGAAGGATAAACACCTATAATTCGAGAGGTAGGCGAACTCTCCCAACCCTCACCCTAACACCTACAATTTGAGAGGTAGACATTTATTTCAAACCCTAATCCGAAGACTCAAGTCAACAATCTCATCACATACTTAACCTTAAGGATAATAAGCCTTATTTATACCAAACAATAATAACTAGTATAACAACAACAACAACAACAAAGCCTTAATCCCACTACGTGGGGTCGGCCACATGAATCTTTTTTCTCGATTGTGTCCTATTTAGTGTCATATCATGTAGTTCTAGCAAATCAAGATCATTTTTTATACAATAAGCCCAAGTCTTCCTAGGTCTACCTCTGTCTTTCTTAACATAAGTTGAATCTAAAACATCTACTCTCCTAAACAGATCATCAGATGATCGACGTTTAATGTGACCAAACCATCTAAGAGGACTTTCTCTAATTTTGTCTGTCACATGAGCAACACCAACCTTATCACGGATAGGGCTGTCAAAAAAGCTCGTTGTTCGCAAACTGTTCGTGTTTGGTTTGCCAAGGAGATCGTGCCCGATTCGTTCGATAAGCAAACGAGATGAACACAAACAATTTTTTTCGTTTGGTTTGTTAAACGAACCAAACACGAACAGTGACACGTTCATTCGTGTTCGTATCGTTTTTGTTTGTAATATAAAATAATTTAAAATAATTATATTATATATACTCTAAAAATTTATCAAATTTTAAAAATTAAATTCTATAAATTATAATATATAATAAATTAATAATAATAATATATCAATAAATTGTATTAGTAATATAAATATTATATATTTATATAATATAAGTTATATAATTAATATATTATTTATATATATTAATATATTCAAACTAAATTGTAAAAAGTAAAAAGCCTAAACCCTAACCCCACATTACTGTTCGCCTGTTCAACACTTCGGCTTCCCTTTCGGCATTTTCCCTCTCGAAAGCTTTCGGCCGGCTCTCCTCTTCGTCTCAAAACCACGAAAAGCTTTGTCTCGTCGAGAGCTTAGGGTTGAATATTTGTGTTCGTTCTCTAATCTCTACTTCTATTTGTCTTCCATAGAGTATATTTGTACTCGGCGGGTCGGCATTGGATCGATTACTCGGTATACTTGCTTCATATTGTTCTTAGTGGATGTCTTAGACGATAATTTTAGGAAATACAATACAAGGATGATAGTAGAAAATGGGATATTCTTGCATCTTAAAGATGAATAGTGGATGAATACAATGTCAGCACATTTTATTATGAACTGTTAAAATGAACCGGGTTGATAGTGTGAAGCATGTTTTTGAATATCTTACAGAAAAGAACTCCTAGGTCTCATTTCAAGTCTCAAGAGACCTCACTTATATGGTACTACAAGCATGCATATGTTGAATTTGGAAAAAATTCAAGGGCATTATTGACGTCATCCAAGGCAGTCGATCGGTTGAAGTTAGTTTAGTGGGAGTTACTAAGGGCACAACAATTGATCGAATATTGAGAGAAATTGTGCATAGCAAGAACATGGTTACACCAATAGATTATGTTTTATGCATAAGAAACTTCCTAGGAGAGGATAAGGATATGGAAGTTCTCTGAGAGCCACTCGAGTCCTAAGGGGTGTGTTAGGAATCAACAAGGGGGAAAGAAATGCATATTAAATGAAAATGATTGCCAGATTATGACACTACGTGGGAGCTATACGACTTGATTTAACAATAGTTTGCTCACTTCTACCTTGAGGGTAAAGTTTCCTTTTAGGAAAGGAGTAATGTTAGCTCCCGCAATATAATTTAAAGACTTATCTTAGGTGCACAACTAAAAGGGAAATTTACTTATTTAATGGTTATTATTGTAGGGTATAAATAGGGCGTAGGGTATAAATAGGGCTTAATATATTTAGAATTATGTTATGTGTGATTTTATCTTAAATCTTAGGGTTAGGGTTTAGGAGAGATCGCTTACCTCGTGTTTAATTTTTATGTATTCGGGATTGTACTATTTTGACGAAATAGAATCTATTATCTATGCCCTAATTTTTACGAAAACTTGTCTTGTTCCTATCATATGCATGAAAGACTTGGGAGCAAATAGATACACACATAACACTCAATTCTAATGAATTTACTTCTCTAGCACCTCTACTTTAATTTTTACATATATATGTCACCTTACTTATGCATTATGCATTAAAGAGTGAGTTTCACTTTTTGAAAGTTAAAATTGTGATATTTCTGATGTGATAAGAAAGATTTGAGCAGTGTAAATACAAAAAGTAAATTTAGGTGTTTGATATAAAAATATGTAAGAATTAAGTGGTAATTCGCCATCAACAAATTTTCATCATTCGACACAGATATCGATGAGTGGTATGAATCTTGAGGAAATTTTTTTAGCAAGAAATATTCAAATTTCAAATAAAAATCATCCAGAACTCTGATTCTAACAAACTGACTAACTCGACAAGATGAATGCAATGACACAAACATTGACCCAATCCGAGTCAAATTAAGCCTAGATCGAGCCGTTAAACCATTTTTTGAAGCTTTTGGTGCCCAATTGGAAGGTAAAACAAATTCTAAATCTGATAAGCTTATTGTCAAATCGAGCACCTTGACAAAATGAATAATCCAACGAGCCCAAGAGCACACAATTTTGATATTAAGACACTCAAATGTCTACAAAACGTCGTCCGATCAAGAGAACCTCTAAAGTTCTTCCGATGGAGTGGTCCAGGTTCCTTCCTTATTAGCATGAATCCTCTCCCAGACTATAAATAGAGCCCTAACCCCTTCTTTAGCGGGACCTGGACCGAGATCTGAGCTTGAAGGACCAGGAGGAACTGAAGCTTAGTGTTTTTTTTGAACCGAAGATTTGGCGAATGCTTCCCACTCACCCACCTTGTAAACCCCTTCTCCAGCCACTGTCGACAACCATTAGCCACCACCTATTCCTTACAGCAAAACTCCCTACAGAATCACAACATACATCGTAGAATCCCGACGTATGTTGCAAAGAAACGAAGCACCAAATGATATACACACTAAAGATGGTGTAACAATACACCCCAAAGAGTGTAACTCCTAGCTACAACCAGCTTGACCAACTACGATCTATGTGGTACACACTCATGTGACTCCTGGCTTTGCGGCCTATAAACGTCATCGCAACTCATCACTACGCCGTACATAACCAACTAAGGCCTACGTGGCTCACAGCTCATGCAACTCCCGACCCCAACCCCAACAATCTACAAATGTTATTGCAGCTCACCACTATAGTCTTTGTGACTAACTACAACCTATATCGTCCACAGCTCATGCGGTTGTCAACTTCGTCCCTTGCAACCTACAGATATCATCGCAACCTACCACAACGGCCTAAGAGGCTCACAACTCACGCAGCCGCTAACTCCAGCCTCTATGGACTATATAGGCTATTATAGCTCTTGACTTCGATCCTGATGATCTACGAACGTCATCACAGCTGTCCACTACGACGTATATGTAAAATTGAAGTGTCTCATCCTGTTTACTTTTATTTTATTTTGCGTGTGTTGAATCTTCATTCAATGCTAAGATGCTAAATTATTAATCTACTTCCGTGGACCTTTCGACACGCAACAGGTGATATGTAGGTAATTGCCCATGAATAAGATTATTTTCAATGTACTTAAAAATAACAAAATCGGAACAAATGAATTATTGTCTGCCACGAAACATTTAATATAGGAGGAAACGAGATGGAAGATGCAAATGAGAATAATTCATTCATACTTTGACTTATAGAAAAAGAAAAAGCATGAATCATAACAAAAAAAAGTCCTATTAAGATCAAAATACGTTGTGGAGTCGTAGAGGGACCAATAACAACAAACCTTTATCCCACTAAGTGGGGTCGGCTACATGAATCCTTTTTCTCCATTACGTCCTATTGAGTGCCATATTTTTATTTAATTCTAATAAATTAAGATCATTTTTTTATAGAATATGCCCAAGTTTTTCAAGGTCTGCCTCTGCCTTTCTTAACATAAGTCGAATCTAAAATATCTACTCTCCTAATCTAGACCATCTAAGAAGAGTCTCTCTGACACCAACCCTATCAAGGATATATTCATTTCACATTGTCTCTAAGCGTGAAACCACTCATCCACCTAAGCATTCTCATCTCAGCAACACTTAGTTTTATGCATGTCTTTTAAAGGCCAACATTCAATGTCATAGAGCATTCCAGGTCTCACCACCATCTTATTAAATTTTCTTTTCAGTCTAAGCAGACAAGAGCCAAAGCATCCCTCCACTTCAATCAACCAACTTGAATTCTACTAATAACATTCCCATCTATATCACTATCACTTTGAACAATAGATCTAAGGTATCTAAAGCGTTCACACCTTTTAATATGGTTCTACCTTCTTCGTTAATCACTCCAAAATCGTAGCCACCATGAATATTTTTAAAAGCTCCTACCACTCCACCAACATGTTCATTTAAATCTCCTCCAATAAAGATTCTTTCTTCAAGAGGTATCATTTGTATTAAGTCTTCTAGGTCACTCCAAAATTGTTCTTTATAACTTATATTTAAACCTACTTTAGGAGCATAAGCACTTATTATATTAAAAATCATAGTATCAACTATTTAAAAATCTTAATATCAATAATAATTTTAAGAGCTATAATTCTATCACAAACTCTATTAATTTTTACAACATTATCTTTGAAACTCTTATCTCTAATTACACCTACACCATTTATATTGTGACTCTTACCAGAATACCAAAATTTAAAACCTAAAATATCAATCTCTTTAGCTTTTTTTCTCGCACCCATTTAGTTTCTTGAATACATAAGATATTGATCTTTCTATGAATCATAAGATCAATTAATTCAATTAATTTACCTTTAAGAGTACTTATATTTCAAGATCTTATCCTAATATTAATTCAATAGACTAACTTCTTTACTCACATTCGTCCGTAATGTGAGGTGAGATCCCTTGCTTACTTGACACTACATCAGGGCGCCAGTGTAGCGGCCCTTGCACACTTTTCATTGTACTCAGGTCATACAATGCGTCGTTTCCAGGGGACACCTTAACATTTACACAAATGATCAAAATGATTCATGTCATGATTTTTCATTTTATGTTGGTTGTTGACTATCTAACACAACCCTCCACTTTTCAACTTCTACATACGTACCACACAATTCTTATGTATTTATATATCTAACCCCTAAAGTTTGATATTTATATTTATGACACTTCGGTGTTATAAATATGTGCATGAAACGGTATATTTCATTATTAAAAAGTTAGTAATAATGGTATTTTCAATGTGATATTAAAGGTCTTAAGTGGTATGCACTTAAATATCTAAAAATATAAGAATTATGCGGTATGTATGCAAATGACCCGAGAAAGAAAATCGAAGCAAGCAAAATATAATTACTTTGAAAGAAAGAATTCTAGGAGCCGGGAAACGTTGTTCGCTTAGCTCTTCAGCCAAAGTTCGACAAGCTGCTAAGGCCGCTGCACTTTTCCCTTCGTCCGCCGGAA